GCGAGTTGATCTCGCTTGTCCGGGACAAAGAGTTGACACATGCAGAGCTTGCGGCTGCTGCTGCAGCGCGAGTTGACTAGAGGACGGGGAGGCCCGAGGGAGGGGCCGTCGCCGTCGTATCGGTGCCCGACGTGCGGGGACAGGCAACAGGGGTTGCCTCCTCTCCCTCGCCTTGCAGAGGCAAGGTGAGGCGCGTGGCGAAAGCGGTCACCTCTAGGGGTGTCCGTCTACGCAATCGGGTCATTTAGATGCGAGCTTTATTCTGGAACATCCCTGGCTTTGTCCACGCAGGGCGGCGTACCCAACTAAAAGAGTATATGCGCAAAGAGGACGTGGACATCGTAGGCTTACATGAAACGATTAAAGCTGATTTCCGCTTCCACGAGTTGCTAGCTATAGACCCGCTGGAACGTTTCAATTGGCACTATTCTCCCGCAGTTGGGCACTCGGGTGGTATGTTGCTGGGCTTAAGCCGAGCCGCGTACGAAATTATCGCTTGGGATGTGGGTTCTTTCTATATAGCTGCTCACTTTCGCATTCGCGCTTCGCTCCGTGAGCTGGTGGTTATCCAGGTTTACGGGCCGGCCGATCATGCCCGATCGGCGGAGTTCTTGGGAGAACTCCAACAGAAAGTCACCATGGTGACAGCCGCGACGCTCCCTGTTCTCGTGGGGGGAGATTTTAACCTGATTAGGTCGGGAGCCGACAAGAATAACAGTAACATTAACTGGCTGCGCATGGCCATGTTCAATTCTGCTATTGCCGCCATGGCCTTAAGGGAAGTTGCTAGGACAGGTGCGCGTTTCACTTGGACAAACAAGCAGCTAGACCCAGTCCGCTCGGTGCTTGATAGGGTGTTCATGTCACCTGAGTGGGAGATGGGCTTCCCTTTGTGCACATTGGTCGCGGAGACCCGCATCGGTTCTGACCACGTCCCGTTAGTCTACTCCTCGGGGGAGGATAGGTTGCGGCGTAGCCCGCGGTTTTTCTTCGAAATGTCCTGGTTTGAAGTACCAGGGTTCAAGAATTTTTTCAAAGAGCGATGGCTGGCGTGTGTTCAGCAGGTCGGACCACAGCGTGGCCCGATAGAATTCTGGAATGCTGTCGAGGGATGGCTCAGAGCGTGCCTCAAGGGGTGGGGCGCCAACCTAGGGAGGTCGGACAAACAGCTTAGAGCCTCGATAATGCATGAGATTGCCACGATCGACGCCCAGGCTGATGCTCGCGCCTTCTCGAAGCTGGAGTGGGCGCATAGATATGCCCTTGAGGGCCAGGTCGAGGCGTTACTTCAGGCGGAGGAAGAATATTGGCGGCGCCGTAGTGGCCTCAAGTGGACGCTCAAGGGCGATGCCAATACCAAGTATTTCCAAGCCTACGCTAACAGCCGCCGTCGTAAATGTGCCATCCTCAAGTTGCAATCGGAGCAGGGGCTCCTGTTGCGACAAGAGGACATTTCTCATCACATCTATGAATTTTACATCAACTTGCTGGGTTCGTGCGAGGCCCAAGGGGCTGGCCTTCGCGAGGAGGTCTGGGACGACTCCCAACGTGTCCTGGGGACTGAAAATGACGAGTTGGGGCTTGCTTTTCTCCCTGAGGAAATTGACGCCGCCTTATTGGGGATGAAAGGGGATACGGCGCCAGGCCCGGATGGGTGGCCGGTGGCAATGTTTAAGCGGTTCTGGCCCATCCTTAGAGGCCCCATTTTTGAGATTTGCAACGGCTTTATGCGTGGGACGGTCGACATTTCTCGCCTTAATTTTGGTGTCCTCTCGCTCATTCCGAAGGTGCACGGGGCCGATAACATTAGACAGTACCGTCCTATTGCGCCCATTAACGTTCCCTTTAAGATCTGTGCAAAAGCGTGCGCTACACAATTAGGTCCAATAGCTCATCGTTCAATTCATCGCAACCAGTCTGCGTTCATGCGCAGGCGTAATATCCTTGAGGGCCCGCTTGCTCTAGAAGAAATTGTACACGAGCTCAAACGCACCATGGAACCGGCAGTATTACTGGGACTTGACTTCGAGAAGGCGTACGATCGGGTCAATTGGGACTTCTTGCGTCAGGTGCTTTTGGGTCGAGGTTTCTCCGCGGTGTGGGTTCACCGTGTAATGCAATTGGTCTCGGGGGGCCAAACGGCAGTTTCGGTGAATGGAGAAATAGGGCATTTCTTCACGAACAAGCGTGGTCTTAGGCAGGGCGACCCAATGTCTCGTTTGCTGTTCAACTTCGTTGTTGACGCGCTGTCTGCGATGCTGTCAAAAGCAGCGACGGCTGGCCATATCCAGGGTTTGGTAGGCCATCTCATTCCAGGGGGAGTGACGCATTTGCAATACGCGGACGATACGCTATTGATGTTTCGCCCGGATGCGCACATCATTGCCTCGGTCAAGGCGATCCTCATTTGCTTTGAGCTCATGTTGGGCCTCAAGATCAACTTTCACAAATGTGAATTGATAGCGATCGGGGTAGAACCGGCGGAGGGTAGATGTATAGCGGACCTGTTTAACTGCAAAGTAGGCAAGTTCCCATTTACGTACATCGGCTTGCCTATTGACACTAAAAGGCCCACGATAGAGGATTGGGATCCCTTATGTGGGAAGGTTCGGGGGAGGGTGTGCCCCTGGAGAGGGAAATTCCTATCCAAGGCGGCAAGGCTAATTCTCACGAATTCCAGCCTCTCTTCCTTTCCAATGTTCGCCATGGGCCTGTTCTTGCTTGCTGAAGGGTTCCATGTGAAGTTTGATACACCCCGCGCTAGGTTCTTTTGGGAAGGAACCGACCCAAACCGTAAATACCATATGGTCAAATGGGCCTGGGTTTGTCCACCCAAGGCCTTGGGAGGCCTCGGGATCACCAATTCCAGACTTATAAACATAGCCTTGATGTGTAAATGGATCTGGAAAATTACACAAGGGGCTACTGGCTTGTGGGTCGATCTCCTCAAGGCCAAGTATTTCCCTGAAGGTAATTTCTTTGAAGGGAGGGCAAGGGGATCCCCTTTCTGGAACGACTTGCAGTCAGTCAAAGTGGCATTTGCCATGGGGGCAAAGTTTGCCATTGGGAATGGCCGTTCGGCCCGCTTCTGGACGGACCACTGGGTAGGGCCCCAACCCCTATGGGCCGAATTCCGGGAGTTATTTGACCTAGCAGTGGACCCCGCGATATCGGTGGCGGATGCACTCGGGTCGACACCGCCGGCGATCCACTTCAAACGGGAATTGAATGGGCAAGAGCAGGCTAGCCTAACGGCTATGATGCACCTCCTTGGGCCGATCAACCTAGTAGATGAACCGGACGCGGTGAGTTGGGCGCTCACTAGCTCTGGGAAATTCTCGGCCAATTCCTTGTACCGCAAGTTGTGTCGAGGGACGACACACCACGCGTTCGCAGGTTTGTGGAAAGCGCGGCTGCCCCTAAAAATCAAGCTATTTATGTGGCAATTATTCCGCGATAAGCTGCCCACCTCCATTAATGTGGCAAAGCGCAACGGTCCGGCCACGGGATCGTGCGCGCTGTGTGGGGCTCCTGAGGATGCTGAGATGCTCAAGACCGTCCAACAACGTCTGATGCAAGTTTACGTGATGGCTAGGGAGCCTTGACCAGGACGAGTGTCCTTGGTCCCTTTTGGTGCTTGACGAGCCTGCGTGCTCTGTACGGGCGCTGCCCTGTAATCCGCTAGTAGTTGGTCAAGTCGCGCCTGGACTTCTTTCGTCGATCTTTTTGCGTTGGCCGGAACGGCCTGTGTCGTTGTTCTAAGACTTGTTGTGTTGTTGCTACGCTGCCTGTTGTGGATTTATTAATTTAAAGCCGGACGTATCTGGCGTCTTCGTTCTAAAAAATAATTCGGTCGAGATGGCTCGCACTACAGCTACTAAGCTCGTGCTGGTCGCCCTGGTGGCGGCACTCCTCCTTGTAGCCTCCGACGTGGCAATCTCCTGCGGCCAGGTGAACTCCGCCCTTGGCCCCTGCCTTTCCTATGCACGCGGCAGCGGCGCCAGCCCGTCCGCGGCCTGCTGCAGCGGCGTTAGGAGATTGGCCGGCCAAGTGCAGACCGCCGCTGACAAGAAAGCGGCATGCTTGTGCATCAAGAGTGCTGCCGGTGGGGTCAAAGAAGGCAAGGCCGCAGAGACCCCCTCCAAGTGCCGCGTCAGCGTCCCCTACAAGATCAGCTCAACTGTGAACTGCAATAAGATCTAGTGATCGATTGCTTGCCGCCAGCATCGCAGATTATAGCTCCACCGATCGATGCTGAGTACTTTGAGGTTACCTATATACTACATATACATGAATAAATGCTCTGATCTGATCTCCATGTGAGAGAGAGGACTACGTATGTGGAGCCAACTCTGCATGGCCGGCCACTGTAGTATCGATGTTTGGTTGTTCCTTCGCTCCCTTTGAGAAGATAAACGAGTATGTTGTACCATGTACCATGTATACTTTTGATATATTGATCATATATTGTGCTCTAATAGCATGCGTCGTTATTACATGTACATAACTGGGAAAACATTTCATTGATTCCATTTTCTTGCTCCAACCAACTAAACGTAGGAATGGACTCCACCCAATTCACTAGAACCGAACCATGACTTTGCACTCTCTATTTGGTTCCTCAAACATAGCCTAAAGCCCTGAGAGATAGAGATGAAGGTCACACAGAAATTTAGTGGATGCGACCACCAATAAGAAGTCCTACAAGTTTAATTGTAAGAAGTCAGATTATTAGGGGAAATCCCTTGGAGCACATGGGTGCTGCTACCCCTGAGAAACAAAAAATAATCTCGTAATTATGGAAAAAGTCAGAAAATCAGGGAACTTTTTTGGATACAAACTTTTTTGTATCAGCTGTGTATAATGATTGGATGTCAAAAACTAAAAGCTCAGTATAATGATTGAACGAAAATGTCCTTCATTGAAAAATGTCGTGCTGACAGAGATGAAGGTCAGCCTCCTAAGAGTATCGTGTAATTAAATAATTAGTAATAAGACTCTTTCCATTTAGGTAGAAATTCGGAATACAAATTGGTACCTGAATTTAGTTAACTTTCCAACTTCGGTACTCCCTTCATTTTTATATACAAGGCCACAAACTCAAATTACAGGCACCAATATAAAATTTAATGTCTGTTTTGAAAGCCATGTTTTCTATCCGTTTACTGGGATCACTAATACCCCACATGCATGCAAGAAAACTGAATGGAGGAAGTAGCTGACTGTCATTATGACTACATGCATGCAATTATTAAACATCTTGCTAGTACGAGAAAATATCATTAATTTTGCCTCGATTACTATTGATGGTCTTGTATAGATGCAAAATGTATATTCCATAGTGGCCTATTATATAAAAATGGAGGGAGTAACAAAGATGACAATACATTTTTATTGAAGTACAAATATACATAAGTATGTTTTTACAGATGTAACTTCACTAACAATGTGCCCTAAATATAGTATTATCACATAGAAGATCTCAGTACTAAAAATTAAAACGTGGTGTCAGCTCACTGGAGTTAGAGCGTATGGGGGCGCGACCACAAGCCATGCTTCTAGTCTCGACGTAGGAACCATGCCATTTCTTGCACAATGTTGTCTTTATACTAGTTGTGTCCGCCTTCTTACAATCGAACCTCCATCTCAAGCCAAGGAAATAGGCGAGGCTTATTGGATAGGACCATAGCTATCAGAAACTGCATGGCGGGAAAACTATGTGCAAAATAGAGGTGCCCTGAGTATTGAAAACTTGCCCATGCCTCCTAATCTTATGGATCGAGACTATAAAAAGATTCATCGAGACTAAAGATTTCAACGTCACGTACTGGTATTGCGGAGACTAGAAAAGGTTAAGTTTTTTAACTCCTTGTAGTAGCATACAATTTGTGAGGTTTGTATGGAAAGAGAGCCCGGAGTAGGAAAGTGACATGTTTTAAGGACTTGGGTCGCACGAGGTTGAAAGTTGGCCGCATTTATGCTCCTAGCGGTATTACTATGCACACCAACATCGTGGCATATTTATTTGCTCCATGCTTCGAGGGTGCTTCCCAACCGTTTGAGGAGTTTGATGTGCCAACCAAAACAACATGGCCGTGACTAAAACGTTGGGAAGAATTCAGCAGTCGATAAGGCCTTCTCTGGTTCACAGGATAGGATATCATAGGAATATAAAAGTCATAGGAAATAAGATGACATGTATCTGAAATCCTATGAATAGAAATTGAAAAGAAGATGTCCTTTGCTTCACATCTTAGGATTTTTTTCATTGAATCTCGGCTAATGTTTATTTTCCTATAACATGTGGAGGATAGGAAGAATTCCTCCATAAGAATAGAATTCTATTACTACAAACCAAAAGACTCTAAAGGAATTTTTCCTATACAACTCCGAACCTATGGGATTCTTACAAACCAAAGAAGGCCTAACATTGGAAATTTTTACTTTCGATTTTTTTTATTAGGCGATACGATCCTGGCCAATATGGAGTGACTAACCACACCATTTATCACTAGTACAGCTAAAATAAGGTGGACGTGTATGACATATCACTGTAAGGTTATGTCAAACATTGACACTCAAACCACATCACATTGTCCGGACGTGTTGTGCCATCCAACTCGGTCCTGTATCCATCCAAACACATTTTTTCCTGTAAACCGGAGACAAACGTAGAGGGCTATGCGGGCCTCTGGATAGCTGACATCGCCCTTACAACAGTAACGTCGCAGCAATCCCGCATCACGTGTCGTCGACGCTGGAGGAAGCCTCGGCCGCCACACGCGTCCTGCGACGTCCCCGGGTGTGGATCCCAAGATCCGCTGCCACAAGGACCCAACATCTGGCCCGTCATCCCCGGCGGACGGGACGCCGCCGCCACCATGTTCGGATCCGTTCTGGAGTCGCCACCGCGTCCTCCAAGATAGGATCAGGGTCGTACGCCCCCGCCGCCACATGCCACTCCCAGCCCCACCTCCAGCCTATGGCCATCTCATCCCACATCACCACAAACGCCTCCAGCAGGAGCCACTGCGCCACCATGGATCGAGCAAGAGGCCGCACATCGGCTGATCTGACACTCTCGCAGCTGTATAGTCGGAGAAGGAGGAGCAGCCCTCCGCCGCTGCCGTTGAACACACAAGCTCTGCCCGGCGCTGTCCCCCAGCGGCAGTCGGGGCAGCTGGGCTCCAGGGTTGCCCCTCACACCCCCACCCCCACCCCACCCCCGATCGCCCTGGATGGGCGAGCGACGAGGTGGTATGAGAGGTTATTTAAATTATTCACTTAAACTGGTTAAAATAACTATAAAACATTTAGAAGTCTGAGAAATACTATTACTACTACACATATATAGTTTATTGAAGAATAACACCAACTTCCCACTAAGCACGTAGAGTGAGACCATCTACAGACTAATTTGCTTGACTGACACAAGATATGGGGCAAGACTTCAAGACGAGCGTAAGAATTCAACTTTAAACCACCTTCACCAGACGGGCGGCTCGACGGTATCCGGCCCTGCCACCTACCAAGTTCCATGTAAACTCCTTCACAAATGCAGTAAATCATGGTTTGCCTTGTCGCTGCTCCGATTGGACGCCTCTCATTCGTCATGTCAAGAATTTTAGTAACAAAGCGACACTTGCATCCGTTGGTTTGGGTGTGGTCGGATCATCAATTCGGCCCCATGCATCGGTTGTGGTGATCAGGTTTGGACAAGCTACATCGACCAATCTACTCATTCCCGACAACCACAAAGATAACCTAGTCGTCTGCATTACCATAAAGAAACGAGATATAATATTGTGAAAAGTTATAAACACACACTTTAAGGCTTCTCATTAACAGCCCAGCTAGATCGAAGCCACATGAATTTTTATGTCTAATTGATGCCTTGAGCCTGTCAGATGTGTATGTGTTGTGATTTGCGCGTTTGTGTACATTTGTGAGTTTAGCCTAGGTGACTCACTGTGTTGATTTTGACTTCAAAATTCACTGAGACACCTTATTATGGATTATAATAAATTCTCGCCCATTCTTTGTTGCTGGACCAGTTCGGTAATTACAAGATTTTGTTATGTAGAAGTACAAGATATGGTATTTTTAACTTGGGAGTGGTGTAATTAACAAATCGTTAATTCAAAGGGGCTAATTCCATGCCCCCGAGCTCAATCTTCTATAACAGGTTGCCTCTTTACAATTGTACCACTAGATGCTTTGTTGATATCGTGTGGTAGGAGAAAACTAGGATACTAGTTAAGGCGATCGATATAGACATTGAGTGTTTGGTGTTCCGAACTTCCGATAGGTCACAGGTTATCGAATATGATACGGGTTGCATATGATGGAGAAGTTCAGAGGATGATATTACGCAACAGTCGTTCTAAGACAACTGCCTCCTATACTCCAATACAAGGAACATGAAGAAATTTCATCTCGAGGTCAAATTCTAACATCTTATACTCGTTTTTAAATAATAAAGCCAACCTACACTATGAACTCTTCGTGGAACATGGTATACGGTGGGGCATATCTAGGTCGGGACATGTGTAGAACGAGAGATGAGAAGAAAACTGGCCAGTTCTAAAGATATCAGCAGTAAAAGTTTGTGTATGGACCATATATACGAGAGTGAAGAAATGGGTCATACTATATGGTATTATTATCTGGGCCGTTGGATGGGTGAATCGGCAGGTGGGAATCACATTCAATGCGAATCGCGCGAGCCGCAGAAATTGCTGTATGTCGAGCGGCGAACGCATGGTGCGTATAGTACCCCGTATGTACTGCGTGGGAGGCCCACACCCTCGGCGGAAACGGCGTCGCGGGCTTGTTAAGGACCGCTGGTCCTGTTAAAACATTGTACCTGGACCGTGGTCCAGAATTTTTTGTGTTCCGTAGCTGTGTGCGTGCCCGTTGGCTAGGGGAAAAAAGCGTGTGCCCTGTCAGAGGCTGGTTGATGCCTCAGAGTGTTGTATTCCGTGGCGGAGAGCGTGCATGGCGGCGGCGGCGACGGCGAGGGGAGTATGGAGAATGCCCCTGCCTCATCTGGGGAGTCGGACAGCCGGACCCGAGATCGCCCGGCTGGATTGGAAAGTACAGAGAGTGATTTTTTTTTCTGAATTATTTTACACCCAGCACTGCATTTACCTACAATTTTCTTTTTCTGTTGTCATGGTTTATGTGACATGGGTGCTAGTGTA